GATAATAAATGACATTATTAACCATTATCAAGTTAATAATACCTTCTTTTTTTAAACTCATTTCCTAAACTCATGGTTAAATAGTTGACGGACAGTTTTCAGCCCTACATGTGCCTGCTGCAGTAAATAAACATGATCTTTTTATATATTTTTAAATTAATGTATTTGGACATTGTCAAAAGCTCGCTGTAAGGTTAATTTAGCAGCTGCACTGGAGCTTCAGATTGTTGTTGAGCACTTCAAGGACGTTGGATTGTGACACGGAGACGTTGATGATGATGAGAGGTGAAGTTTAGACTCTAGTATTTAAACATTAATTAAAAAGCACAGCAGGAAACATGAAGTGTGTCGTTTACAGAACAAATCATGGTTTAAAGAAGATCAGTTTTGTGTCTGCAAAAGTATATCAATAAATACTATTTGTTTAATTCTACTTTTGTTGTGTTGGATTTCCCACTACGTTGTTAAGTTATGTCACGTCCTGAATTAATTTTAGAAATAGGATTCAAGTCACTGAAGCTGCTGGGACACACACTGACTGTATTATTTTATTCATCTAATTATTATCTTTATTTAACCAGGAAGTCCCATTAAAATCTGTTTGACAAGAGAGACCTGTCGGAGGCAGCAGCCTGTTGGAGCCATAATGTAGTTTTGTTTATTTATTCTGTCCTTATCTAAACAAGGTAAATATAAATACACGCATGCAGTTCTGAAACTGAACACAGGGTGGAGCACTCGTGTTTGAGGTGCATGTCAGTGGCTCCAGGTGATTCAGGATCAGGTGTGTGGAACAGGAAGCAAACAGTTTGTGACCGTGTTATGGGAACATGTTGAACGCTTCAAGTACTGTGTGTTAAACTGAATATATTCTGAATGGAATAATTATTGAATACAGACAGTGCTGTCTTGCTTCTGTGTCATGGTGAGCGTGTGTACGTTGTATTGAGAATAAATGGATCCAAAAAGATAACACACACACTGGACATTGGTTTAGTCTTAGTCCAGAGCAGATGTCAGAAACAAGTTCACCTGTTCGGCCTCAGTGGCTGGTTTAGACACAGCCGATCAAAACACATTAAAATACAACATATAATACAAAAATCCAAATTATTCAGACACAGCGGCTTTGCAAGAAAAACAAGAACATGTCTCTGTCATCAGCGACCAAACATGGCCGACACATGTCAACAGATTAACAACAGCCACCTTCAGATTTTGGCTGCTGACTTTTGAGCAGCATGTTTGACAGTGCATTTCTTCACTGGATAAAAAAAAAAAGACCAAAACACTTCAGACTTGTGACATCCATCAGATCTGATATTATTTTCACTCATATAAACAGTGTGTATCAAAGTGGATACAATCTGTGCTGTAATTTGACTTTTGACACATTTATTTTCAAAGATGAGATTATTTGGACTTTTTAATCCTTCATGAATTCATTTTATTTTGTGCTATTGTAACTTTATTTGGTGCATGTTGACAGGTCGGCTCTGACTGTACCTGCTAAGTCTCAGAGGGCATCACACATCTCATTACTGACTGACTGAGAGATTTTCTCTGGATGAATTTGACATAATTTAGGATCATGAAATTAATGTCTGATACCTGGTTGTGACTGTGAGCAAATAATATGACCTCAAGCAGTTAAAGGTTTTATAACTGTCGATGAGCTCAGACTGTGACAGTGGATTTATTGTGACTGAAGCTGTGGTGTTTAATCACAGATCTCCAGCAGGGGGCAGCATGCTGTCACTTACTGTTGGTGATGTTGCTGCAGCTGTGAAGCGCTGTCAAACTAACATGTCACAGTGTGACCTCGACTGATCCCGACCTTTATAAGATCAATGGTGTTTTTGTTGTTATTGTTGTTGTTTATTCCTCCTTATGTCCCAGCGAAACAAAAAAACTTCCATATAAAAAAAGTACTGAACGGTTGTTAAGTATTTAATCCCTTCATTACATCTTCAATGAGCATAAATTCAATAATACAAACTTATGAAACAACCCAGGGTTCCTACAGTTTAAAAAAAAACACGTTGTTTTCAAGGGCCTGGAAATGATCTGGAATATAAAATGTACATTGTTTTGGCTGCTGTTTAAAATATGTTCATAAAAACACAAAAACTTGTCAAACATTACAAAACAACTTATCCTAAAGTGACACTTTGCAGAGTACGAATAAGTGCTCGTTATCGGTGGGAATGTCAAACTTGTGAGTAAAGATAGTGAGCGCATGCACTTTGATTTTCCAGAAATAAATATATGGACAAAATTCATCAGTGAAAATGTGTGGGAACCCTGACAACCTTTAATACAACCTGACAGATGAAAACATTTAAAAAATAATTGCTTTAAAAGTCTTTTTACTGCAAATAAATCATAATTCATTCTCTAACATTTATCTCATATTGTTCATAACAGATTTCTCCTTCAGACAGCTGAACTTAAAGGGGAACTAACGTTGTTTTCTGGGCCCTATTTTCCGATCTCCTTTTGTCTAAATGAGTGATAAGATGTTCAATATGTGACATGTCTCCAGTATGAAGCTAGGGCTGACCTGCCTGCAGCCCGTGAGCGCGTGCTATATTAAATAATAGGGCACTCAGACAGCGTCAAACAACGTCAAAATACTTCCACTAAAAGTGCATTTTTTTCACACAGATAGGCTCGGATTGTTAGTATAATTATCTGACAACATAACGGAAAGGAGAAATGAACGTGTGTGTTTACCTTTAGCTGGATTCAGACATGTTCCTCTGCCTGTTGCTGCTCCCTCTCTCTCCTCGTCCGCTCTTCAGTTTCAATGAGCTCTGCGTCCGTGTACATACGTGTACTCCTTGTTCAAATAAATACGGGCGCTCATCAAATTCAAATGGCTCAGCAGTCGCGTTTGTAAGCTCGCTCCAGCGGTAACTTCCTGCAACAACTCAAGTCTCGCGAGACCAACTGCCGTAAAACACCATAGACTGTATAGTAAAACACCGAAGAAGAAGAAGAAGAATCTCGCGAGACGTGATATTTCAGAGCCAGACTTTCACTCTCTGAGTGAGTGTTTTGATTTGCAACAACAAACATGTCTGAATTTTTACCTGATTTTGACCAACTGGATCTGGATGAGCCATTTGAATTTGATAAGTGCCCTATTATTTAATATAGCGCGCGCTCACGGGCTGCAGGCAGGTCAGCCCTAGCTTCATACTGGAGAAATGTCACATATTGAACATCCTATCACTCATTTAGACAAAAGGAGATCAGAAAATAGGGCCCAGGTTGAAAACAACGTTAGTTCCCCTTTAATGAAGTTTCTCTCCAAAAACGTAATTTTACTGAATTGCAGTGAACACATCATGAGAATGTTAAAATTAACGTTCACCTAATACTCATTTTTTACCGAAAACAGCTTGATTGAGAAAAAGTTCATTGCAACCTCCATCAGCTGCTAGTTATGGTGACTGGCTAAATGCTAACTGCTAACAGCTAATTGCTAACAGCTGAGCGCTAACAGCTGAGTGCTGACAGCTAACGTTAACTAGCTCTCCTTCTGCTGATGTCAATGTGGATTTGTTGTCCACAACAGGAGCATCCGTCCTCTGATGCGTCGATGTTTATGTTTTATTTAAGAAGGGTCAGTTTCATTTACAGGGACACGAGTTAGCTAAAAGCTAATTTTCATCATCGGCCACTTTACATTTTGTTAACAGGCGTCCAAGAATACACAGCGCACAATAGTTAAAGACGATCAGTTAAACATGAACGAGTCCAGCATATAAAATACAGTTTGGCCCTGATCACACAGGAAGTGTTTCAGCAGCTGGAGGCTTTTTGTAATGAGAGTAGTTTTAATGAAAATGAATCACAGCTGTGAAGATTTACGCTCTGCAGCAGGAGTGTGTGTAGATTTTATTTTATCTCATGATGATATGGACAGGAAACATGTTTCAGCGTCTCAGAGAGGACGATTAGAGGAACTGTGTGAACACACTGGAGGCTCGAGGACCACAGGGTTGGACACGCTGTCTCTGACCCTCCTGAGGTCCAGTTTGGTCCCCGTATGTCAGTGCGACCCTGATTCTGAACATCATTCAGCGTGTGATATCACAGTTTCAGCAGCAGAGCAGATCAGTGTCTCTGCAGAGCTGCTGCTTCCTGACCCAGTTTGCCTGCTTGACTTGACTGGGTTGTTCCCAGTGCTGCTGTGGGACGTCCCTGCTGGGTCCTGAGTTTACGTGTTGTGTCTGATCTGTGACACCGTCTGATGAACACACTTAAAACACAGTCTCATAATATTCAAAGGTTGATTTGAACATTTTCCATTTATCTTAAAATGTTTTCAGTCTGTGCAGAAAAACTCAAACATTGTTGAAATATGGACAAAATATGGTGAATTACTAAAGACCAAATATGCTGATGTTGAGTGACAGATAACTTTTATTATGATTTGATAAATCTCTGCTGTGTCTTGTGGAATCGTTGAATTAAAATGTAGCTGTCAGTGTTCAATCGCAGCACAGACAAACAGCTAAAAACATGAACGTCTCATCGTGTGTTATACAGGACGGGCTGTTCAGTCAGCTGTTAGCTTCTTCTTCTGTTAGCTAACTACGGCCATGAACATTTTGATAGCAACGGTTGCCAAGCCCTGATTTAATCTTGAAAATTTCAGTATCTGAGTTCAGATAAGTTTCACTTTCTCTTTAGTTTTAAATGGTCATGTTTCAGTGAAGAGTCTCGTGTTTGTGAAGATAAGTTTGATGTAATAAATGAGCTCTGTGAGACTTTGTAAACAGATGTTTTGATGGAGTTGGACTGTTGTTAGAGTGTTCCCCAATCAATCAATAAATCAATGTATTTGTCATTTTCTACAGAGAAATAAAAAATGAGAGCTGACGCTGTGTGACTGACTCCTCCTCCTCCTCCTCCTCCTCCTCCTCCTCCCTCCTAATCTGTTTTCTAGTTTCATTTCCTCAAACACAGGAAACAGGGAAGGGCTCTGGTCGTAAAGGGTGATGTCAGTTTGTTCAGACTTCAGTTTGAGCTCCACACAGCAGGACGTCTGAGGCAGGTGAGTGTTACCTGATATCATTGCCTTTATTCTGCTGATCTGTGCTGAAGAATTGTTTCGATTATATTGTGAGAAAGGACACACCTGATTGATGTCACATCTGAGAGCACAAAGTGACGTCTGCAAATGTTTGTCTTTTGTCTTTTTCTGAGTTATCACAGTTACATAGTGAAAATAGAGGAACTGAACAGTGTCTGTCTGAAGTCAGATTATTTGTTGGATTTCAAACAGAGTCAGAGTTTATTGTTTAGTCCAGTCTGTGGTTTGACTCAGGGGGAAATTGTAATAGTAATAATTCAAGGTTTTATGTCATCATTAGAGACACTCAAATAATATTAAACATATACTGAAATATACTCAGTAGGTCAAAGTAAATTCAGGGGTCTTATCTCTGCTGCTGAATGTGATATTATCATATCATTTATGTCTAAACTTTGGTTTTGTATTATCACATTTTTCATATTGATTGATCTTGATATTTATCCTGATGATAAAATGATGATATTAAGAGAAAGGATGCTACAAAATCTGATATAATTTACATAAAATTATCTCAAGAGCTATTCCTAAACATGACACTAAAAGTCGTGCTTTGACTGAGCTAACAAACACTCTGTCGCCTGCTAGCTGAGCAACACTGCTAGCTTCTCTCAGGGACTTCAATTCAAACAGGTGCAAACACTGGTTGATGTTACTCTGGCTGGCTAGCAATGTTAGCTATCTGTTAGCTAGAGTGACCCACTGCCCCAAATACAGGTGTAAGACATTAAAACACTGTCTCAAAATGTGTTCTACTGGAAAGACAACATACTTCTGTTTTTTTGTGATCAATTTTTTATTGATGATTTATGATAGCAACATGATCACAGCACTGACACAGAGGGCATCGAGAATGGAAGCAGTGCAACAAGAGTTTCTTTACCCTTCCTGTCCTCTTATTTTCCTTCCCAGCAACCACTTCCCCCCTCTGACCACTGACATGGTGGATCAAAAATAAAGTGTGTATAAGTAAAAGGACAAAAAGAACAACGACAAAATAAATAGATGAATAAATACTAAAAAGAAAACCCACAAAAACAAAACAAAAAAAAGAGGATAAACATACCATAAGAACGTTACTAGTGTAACCTACCCTAACCCCTTCCCCTTGTTACCCAGGAATCCTGTTATCTTTATAAACCAACAACATTAAGACATTTGATGACACATAATAATGCTAATTTCCTCCATCATTCACAATGATATCCACAGAAATAGCAATTAGCATACATAGAAGTATATGTATATCTATAAAAAATGAATAAAGAATGTACATACAGTATGTAAAGTATTCTGGACATGCAAGCAAAATAGCAAACACATGGAATCATAGGTAAAAGACAGTTGACCAAAGGTTATAATAGTGCACTAATTTTCTCAAGTAAATTTATGTTTCGTGCTTTGGCATAATGTAAACGTGCTGTGAAAAGCTCCAAGTGTGCAATATCCTGGAATGAAGAGAGCCACTCCCTCACCGACAGTCTGTGTGGTGGTTTCCACCGGCAAGCGACCATCCTTTTGGCCGCTGTAAGACCAGCTAGCAGTAGGCGCCTTTCATTGGTGGTTAGCTCTAGGGAGGAAGTGTCTGAGTAACAGCAGACACTGTGAGTGAGGGATGGCTCGCTCCAAGATGTTAGACATAACATAACTTTTTTTTTTTTTTTTTTTTTTTTTTACATTTTTTGGGGATATATTTTGGGACAGTGAGCCGAGATAATTTGAAGTGTACAAATTTACTATCAATCAATCAATCAATTTCAATCAATTTTATTTATAAAGCCCAATATCACAGATCACAATTTGCCTCAGAGAGCTTTACAGCATACGGCATCCCTCTGTCCTTATGACCCTCACAGCTGATCAGGAAAAACTCCCCAAAAAACCCTTTAACGGGGGAATTACCGCGGTCTTTATATTTATATTTAGCTGCGAGGAGCTCTGAACCATCCAGCGTTTAAAGTCGAGGATGCAGCTGTTGTTGATTTGATAAAAGTCATTGTGGTTAAAAGAAAGATACAACTGTGTGTCATCTGTGTACGAACTGAAACTTACATTACCCTCCTGAGACATCAGCTTGTGTTTGGTCTGCATTTCAAATAGGACCTGATAAGTATTAAAAAAACACTGTCTTTGAACAGGAAGTAGTTCTGGAGAAAAAAATTGATGCCCTCATGTGAGGATGTTTTTGTTCATTTGTTTGTTTTGTAAGTCTGGATGGATTTTCCTCGTTTCATATTCCGAGCAATGAATGTCCTTTTGTCTGTAGAGACAGTCTGTCACACCTGATTGGTCCCAACGTACTTAAACGAGACCATTATGAAAGCTTGTTGCTGTTGCTTAAATTGGTAAATTTGTTGCCATATCAAACTACAAACTTCATTAATCACAAATAAACAAGTTTCAACTATTAAATCTGATCAGGTTTTGGACCTTGTCCACTTATGTGTCAGGATCGGCTGCAGACTGACTTGGCAGAGATGGCTGCCATCTTGTTTTAACATGTACTAATGTATTGTCCTCTCACTACCACTAGATGGCACAAAAAGTGTCCATGATTGACAGGTCGTCACAACAGGTCTGAGTGAAGCAGAATGTAGTATGAGGTGCAGCAAACCCAGAATGTGATGTCCTCATATGATGAGTCAGGGTCTCAGGAGGTTATGTCTGCTGATGACACGCCACAGGGGTAATGCAGAGAGAAACAGTAGTGGTTCAAGGACAGAGCCCTGAGGTGCCCCACAGATCATCTTCACAATAGATAAGCAGGAGTTTCCAAAAGAGGTTGTTAAGTAGACGTCAGATGAGACACATATCAATAGCAGGTGTAAATATATAAAGGATAAATCATATTTAGATTAACGATGTATGTTTTTGATCAAACTAAAGTAAAAATAAATTTATAGTGTGTGTGTGTGTGTGTGTTTCAGGTGTTTTCCTCTCAGATTGAGAAGATGAGTGATTTAGGAGAAGCAGAGGACAGAGCAGTGTCTCCCGTCCCCAGCTGTCTGTCCATGCAGAGTGATCAGTCCAAAGGAAACCCTCTACACTTCAGTGATGAAGCTGAACCCTCAGACACACAGTAAGAAACTCTTCCTCCTGTAAAGTGAAGATTCAGTTATTTAATGTTATCTGATGTCCTACACCACAGCTGCGTTCTGTCATAATTACATAAAGGTTTTTTAATTGTATGCAGTCACAGTCTACAGGTATCCCTGTCAAATGTTTCTGGACCTGATCTGAGTCCTTTAAAAAGAGTTTCTGCTGATACAGAATCTGACTTGGTATTTTACCTATCTGTTGACTACAGAGGATCTGACACACTGAAACTACAGCTGTAGCCACTAAAACTGACACATCTTATTTTTACAAGCTACTTGAGCCATAAATTGGTTCAAGGTACAAAGTTCAGCCACTTTATTACAATTGTACACCACAATCTCACAATAAACTGCAGGTGAATCCCCTCCACACTGAACACACACACACTCCATGTATACACAGATATTTAAATAAAATAGAATAAAACATTAGAACAGAACAAAGTACATAAAAGTAGAACGAATGGAAGAAAGAAGAAAAACTGAATTATATTTACAGAGAAGATAAACAGTTATGGGAGAAATAAACAAAAGTATTTGTTGTTGTAAATCTTGATCATGCTAACTTTAGCTCTGCTCTTCTAATGATAAAAACATTTGTTGTTTCCACAGACAGAAAACAGAGTCTCCAGTATCCAGCTCTCTGTCCATGAAGAGTGACTTTTCCAAAGAGGAACCTCCATACTTCAGTAATGAACCTGGACCCTCAGACACAAAGCATCATGGGAGACGGTTTCTACTGTAAGCTGACCTGAAGATGACTCAGTGTTTAATGTTATCTGACGCTCTGCACCTCGACTCTGTTCTTATATTTTTACATGAGGTGTGTCTATTCAGGCCCTCAGGATAACCTGATTAAAAAAAATTTTGAGGCCCTGTCCGAGTCCAACCTGATACTTATATTAAGCTAAATGTTAATCTGTAGAAACAGTTATCTGTATATGAATGCAGAATCTGTTGTTAAGGGAACAGGAGTTTAGAATCAGAAGCGTTCTGGTTTCCATTTGTAGTGTTGACCAGTCATGTTTGAGCAGGGTTTGGTCACATGCAGGACAGGTAAACAGTCCATGTGGAGAGCCAAGGAGACGAATCACACTGGTCAAAATGCAGTCTCTTAACCGAATGGCTAATGTTTGACAAAGATTTATCTGTTTTTCTAATTCATCTGGATTCATATGCCACTGGATACTTGTGAAATATTTTGGTTGTAAATATTGTCTCTCAACTTCAACTCCATTTTCACGTCTCGAGTTGCTAATCAGATCTTGAACAATGACTAGCGCACAGGTGAGGAAGTCTCAGCTTGTATGATTGATTAAGATAAACAGTTATGGGAGAAATAAACAAAAGTATTTGTTGTTGTAAATCTTGATCATGCTAACGTTAGCTCTGCTCTTCTAATGATAAAAACATTTGTTGTTTCCACAGACAGAAAACAGAGTCTCCAGTATCCAGCTCTCTGTCCATGAAGAGTGACTTTTCCAAAGAGGAACCTCCATACTTCAGTAATGAACCTGGACCCTCAGACACAAAGCATCATGGGAGACGGTTTCTACTGTAAGCTGACCTGAAGATGACTCAGTGTTTAATGTTATCTGACGCTCTGCACCTCGACTCTGTTCTTATATTTTTACATGAGGTGTGTCTATTCAGGCCCTCAGGATAACCTGATTAAAAAAAATTTTGAGGCCCTGTCCGAGTCCAACCTGATACTTATATTAAGCTAAATGTTAATCTGTAGAAACAGTTATCTGTATATGAATGCAGAATCTGTTGTTAAGGGAACAGGAGTTTAGAATCAGAAGCGTTCTGGTTTCCATTTGTAGTGTTGACCAGTCATGTTTGAGCAGGGTTTGGTCACATGCAGGACAGGTAAACAGTCCATGTGGAGAGCCAAGGAGACGAATCACACTGGTCAAAATGCAGTCTCTTAACCGAATGGCTAATGTTTGACAAAGATTTATCTGTTTTTCTAATTCATCTGGATTCATATGCCACTGGATACTTGTGAAATATTTTGGTTGTAAATATTGTCTCTCAACTTCAACTCCATTTTCACGTCTCGAGTTGCTAATCAGATCTTGAACAATGACTAGCGCACAGGTGAGGAAGTCTCAGCTTGTATGATTGATTAAGATAAACAGTTATGGGAGAAATAAACAAAAGTATTTGTTGTTGTAAATCTTGATCATGCTAACGTTAGCTCTGCTCTTCTAATGATAAAAACATTTGTTGTTTCCACAGACAGAAAACAGAGTCTCCAGTATCCAGCTCTCTGTCCATGAAGAGTGACTTTTCCAAAGAGGAACCTCCATACTTCAGTAATGAACCTGGACCCTCAGACACAAAGCATCATGGGAGACGGTTTCTACTGTAAGCTGACCTGAAGACGATTTGGCATTTAGTGTTTTCAAACTTTTCTATAATTTTTCTGTTCACATTGTTACAATATGTGAAGCAGGAGCTGATATCTAAACAAACATGCTGATGATTTGTCTCTGACGCAAAGAAAACTGAGTCTGAAATTATAGAGAGAAGCTGCTGTAAAATCTGTGGCACAGTTTTATTGGACACACACAGTAGAGAGTGAAATAAACAGTGAGAGAAAAAGGGAAATGATCATAAAGAAAAACAGAAATTAAAAAATGGCTCAGCATCACAACACGATACAAAAACCTGGGACGTGATTGAAGCAGCAGTTAATACTTATTAAGTGTTACTACTTTATCCTGTTGCTGCACCAGCCTCCACCTTTCCTTACTGATAGCAGTGTCATATCAGGTTGATGTTGAGCCACCATGTCCAGCCCTGTCCTGCGCCACATTCCGAACAAAGACCTGGTGCTTCTATCAAGCTTCTTTCTACTTGACTACCCTCCACTTCCTTCATATTCTCATGGCATGAGGCCACCTTCAGGCTGTAGTTGAATACATTCCCAAGACTATTCACTGTTTTTCCATGACAGATGGGAACTGATCTTCTCTTACTCTGAATTAGTGACCCTTGGTCTCTTCAAAACTGAGGGACGGGACTTTGCAGGTTTTAAACTTTTGCATGCCGATGACATGAGCTTTCTAGACCTTGGAGGATCCACCTGGCTCCTGGCACTGCTGGTGTTGTTACCATCCATGAAGGCTCTGATTGGTGGTTGCCTTACTCTCGACTTCCTGAGGGGCCCTGGCACTCTATTTCTGCTGGCTTGAACAGCATGTTCTTTGCTAGTGCAAAGAGAGAGATGGTGTACCTGGTGATCACAACTTCCAGCTGGTTCCAGTCAGATGCTAGAGGCCAGAAAAGATCCTTGAGCTGAACTTGCTGTAAAAGTCCAGAATGGAGTCTTTCACCTTCTGGGATATGTGGCGTTTCTAAAGTGCAGCCTTGACCAGCTTGTGGGTTATTGAGCCATAGGCTTTGGTAAGATCTAGCCACAGTATAGCCAGGTCCCCTTTGCCCTCTCTTACCTCCCTGATAAGCTGGGTCACCACGCCTGTGTGTTCAAGATGCCTATTTAACCCCGGTATGCCTCCCTTTTGTACTGATGTGTCAATGTAGTTGTTACTCAGCAAAAAGGTAGAGAGTCTCTTGGCCACCAGCTGAAGAAGACCTTGCATGGAGATGATCAAAAATTCAGTAATCTCAAATCTCTTCTCATATGGTATATAAACCTCCTCTCAGCATATCTTAATGACTGGCCGACCTTCCGTCGCCTCTAGATCACCTTTGAGGCCCTCCAAAGCCAGTGGAGTAGCCTCAGGCAGCTCTTATAGACCTTTTAGGGCACTCCACTCAGGGTCCGGGAGGCGTACAGGTCCTTGAGGGAGAGCAGATTGCAGCCAATCACCTTCTTGGTGGAGCGAATGATACACTGCGGTCTGCTTTTGTCCTTGGCAGTGGCAGCAGCCTACCAGATGGTGATGGAGGAGGTGAGGATGGACTCAATGATGGCAGAGTAGAAGTGCACCATCACTGTCTTTGGCAGGTTGAACTTCTTTAGCTGCCACAGGAAGTACATCCTCTGATGTGCTTTCTTTGTAAGGGAGCTGACGTTCAGCTCCCACTTGAGGTCCTGGGGGTTTGGTGGTCCTCAGGAAGCGAAATGACTCGACAGTGTCGACTGGGGAATCATACAGGGTGATGTGGGTGGGCAGGGCTGGGTTCTTCCTGAAGTCTACAACCATCTCCACTATCTTAAGTGCGTTGAGCTCCAGGTTGTTCAGCCTGCACCAGGTCACCAGGTGGTCAATCTCCCACCTGTTGGTGGACTCATCCTCGTCAGAGATGAGTCCAATGAGGGTGGTGTCGTCCGCGAACTTCAAGAGCTTGACGGACTGATGACTGGAGGTGCAGCTGTTGGTGTACAGGAAGAAGAGCAGAGGAGAAAGAACACAGCCTTGGGGGGATCAAGTGTTGATAGTCCGGTGTCAGAAACATGTCTCCCCAACTTCATGTGCTGCCTCCTGTCAGACAGGAAGTCAGTAATCCACCTGCACGTGGAGTCAGGCACACTCAGCTGGGAGAGCTTGTCCTGTAGCAGAGATGGGATGATTGTATTGAAGGCAGAGCTGAAGTCCACAAACAGGATCCTGGCAAAGGTTCCTGGGGAGTCCAGACGCTGGAGGGTGAAGAGGGTGAAGAGCTGCTAGGTCAGTCTTCTCACCCTCTCCTGCCTTCTTGTACTGCATCTTGACCTCTTTGAGTTCTCCTCTGATCTGCTGGATTTCTCTGTAGTTTGTAGCATAGGCTGATGGTGTGAACCTGGCTGCCTCTGTAGCTCAGCTGTAGTGTTTACTATGATGGTGGCCATAGTTTTCAGTTGGCGGTCGACTTCCCCTTTGGCAGTTTGTTTCAAGATGTGACTTAGGTCTTTGTCCAACTGGTGCCACTCAGCTTTCTTTGTGGGGACCATTGGAGCCATTTGATCCTTGTTTGGGCCAGTGGAGCACAGGCAGCTGATAAGGATGTCGCTTGGAGGCAGTGCTGCTGGATGGAGAAGCAGCCACTGGAATCTTGGGTATGGGAGGCTCTGGGCACTGTGGGTTTCCCCCTGAGCCTGCGTCCTCCTGCATCTCAGCAGAAGTTGCTTCTGTGCCCTGTGTTGTCACTTCCACTGTCAAGGCTCTAATCCAGGCCTGGCACATCTTTAATCCCCTCATGTTATTGCAGGTTTTGCCGAAGATGCACTGCATTCTTCATGTTGTTAATCCATTGTCCTGTGTCATTAACCTTGGGTCCATCTGGCAGACTGTTGTTATTATTCTCTATTACACATTACATGATGGACCTATCCACTTGACCTACCTTACAGTATGGGTAATGTATTAAAAACTTTGGGACTGTGTAACCCATAATCAGATGGACTGTTTCAACATCAAGTGGGCCACAGCTGTCGAGTCTTTCTTTTTTTTAACTTACAATTTATTTTTTTTTCAACATTGCTAGTTGTGGCCTGGCATTTGCCAGAATTGCCTGATGACCAGTCCAAGCCTGCCATTAGATATTAGAACTGCAGTGATTGTGTGAATAAAATGCAGAAACATGGGTGTCAGGACCTGGTCTAAATCAAGCTCTTTGCACTCCCAGGTGCTCTTGTTGGATGGTGTTCATAACGCTGGAAAGTTTTTGTTAGATTTGCGACAGCCTGGAGAGACTGCTCACAGAACTGACTATAGACTGTGCTCTGTCTTTGCAGAGAGTTGTGAGCTTTGCAAACACCATGGTAGTACTTTAATATAGTTACAAGGTAGAGGTATGGGATTTGGCCTCTGAGGTGTGTGGTTTTGATCCATTAATTCAAGAGCTCCTCTCTCATATTTGAACAGTAATTTACATTTGTGTTGTTGACAAAAGTTGATTTGCTGCAGAACCACCACTGCTCCACTCAGCTTAGTTTTGGCAAGGTGCTGGAAACATCAAGAAGTGCAAACCAGTAGACAAGATATCTGCGCACCTACATGTATGCAGTGTTTCACTTGAAAGAATGTGTTCATCTCCACAGAGAGAAGAAGAAGAGGACTCATGCTTCTGTGGTGGAACAGTCGTCCTGCTGTGCTTTGTGTCAGGACGTCCTGAAGGATCCAGTCTCTACCAGCTGTGGACACTGGTTTTGCAGACAGTGCATCACCTCCTACTGGGACCAGTTGTCTTCATCAGGAGACTACTCCTGTCCCCAGTGTGGACAAAGATCCAGAACAAGAGCTGGATTGCAGACAGCCAGTCAGACCAGCACTGTACAAAGTAAGACTGTCCATCTGTCTGCTGATGTCTTCATGTCTGAAAACAAGATTCTTCTTGGTTTATTTGTGTGTTGTACAGCACAAACATTAAGATTTGTATAAAAATCATAAAATTTAAAACATTTTACTTTTTATGTCACTTCTTTTAGTGTTGGTCATGAAAAGAACTAAAGATTCTCTCAAATATTTTTGTTCAATCTCACATTGTTCCCCTCTTTCAGTGGACGTTAGTCTGCAGGAGGTTTTAGATGAACATAAGATCAGTCTGAAGAGGAGATGTGAACATGTGACTGAAGGAACTGATGAAACAGGAAGTGAAACCTGCCTCAACAGGATCTACACTGAGCTCTACATCACAGAGGGACAGAGTGAAGAGGTTAATACCCAACATGAGGTGAGGCAGCTTGAGACAACTTCCAAGATGAAGACCCTCCATGACACTCCAATCAAGTGTCATGACATCTTTAAAGCCTTACCTGGTCAACAGAAACACATCAGAGTGGTTCTGACCAACGGCGTCGCTGGCGTTGGAAAAACCTTCTCCGTACGGAAGTTTACTCTGGACTGGGCCGAGGGTTTGGAAAACCAAGATGTCAGTTTGGTGATTCTTCTTTCTTTCAGGGATTTTAACTTGATCAGAGATGAGAAGTTTAGTCTTCTCATTCTGCTCCGTGTTTTCCATCCAACATTACAGAAGGTCACAGCAGAGGAGCTCGCTGTCTGTAAAGTTCTGTTCATCTTTGACGGCCTGGATGAAATCAGACTGTCTCTGGATTTCTATAACAATTTGGTTGTGTCTGATGTCACACAGAAGTCATCAGTCAACTTGCTGTTGACAAACCTCATTTAGGGGAATTTGCTTCCCTCTGCTCTTGTCTGGATAACTTCCCGACCTGCAGCAGCCAATCAGATCCCTCCTGCATGTGTTGACAGGGTAACAGAAGTACGAGGCTTCACTGACGCCCAGAAGGATGAGTACTTCAGGAGGAGAGTCAGTGATGAAGAGCTGTCCAGCATAATTATTTCTCATATTAAGACTTCCAGGAGCCTCCACATCATGTGTCTAATCCCAGTCTTCTGCTGGATCACTGCTACAGTTCTGGATCACATGTTGACTACAGAGCAGAGTGGAGAGCTGCCCAAGACCCTGACTGACATGTACTCACACTTCTTGCTGGTTCAGACAAAGAGAAAGAAGCAGAAGTATGATGAGGGACAAGAGACAAGTCCTCAGGAGCTGACGGAGGCTGACAAGGAAGTTCTTCTGAAGCTGGGGAGGCTGGCGTTCGAACAGCTGGAGAAAGGAAACATCATGTTCTACCAAGAAGACCTGGAGAAGTGTGGTCTGGATGTCACAGAGGCCTCTGTGTTCTCAGGAATTTGTACAGAGATCTTCAAAAAAGAAAGTGTGATCTTTGGTAAAACTGTCTACAGCTTTGTTCATCTGAGCGTTCAGGAGTTTCTAGCTGCAGTCTACCTGTTCCACTGTTACACAAACAAGAACACAGAGGTACTGAGGGCTTTTTTTGGGGAAAAGAAGAGCCACTCATCCCAGAAAAGGTCTGGTCATCAAACTGATGATGATTATTACGACCAAGACGATCTAGATGATTATTACGACCAAGATGATCTAGATGATTATTACGACCAAGACGATCGAGATGATTTTTACGACCAAGACGATCCAGATGACTACGACCAAGATGATCGAGATGATTTCTATGACCAAGATGATCGAGATGATTATTATGACCAAGACGATCGAGATGATTTCTATGACCAAGATGATCGAGATGATTATTACGACCAAGACAATCGAGATGACTACGACCGAGACGATCGAGATGATTTCTATGACCAAGATGATCGAGATGATTATTATGACCAAGACGATCGAGATGATTTCTATGACCAAGATGATCGAGATGATTATTACGACCAAGACGATCGAGATGACTACGACCGAGACGATCGAGATGATTTCTATGACCAAGATGATCGAGATGATTATTATGACCAAGACGATCGAGATGATTTCTATGACCAAGATGATCGAGATGATTATTACGACCAAGACGATCGAGATGATTACGACCAAGATGATGGAGATGTTGATCATTACGTAGACACAGTCTCATCACTGGATGACTTCCTGAAGAGAGCCATGGAAAAATCCCTCAAAAGTAAAAATGGCCACCTGGACCTGTTTGTTCGCTTCCTTTATGGCCTTGCTCTAGAGTCCAACCAGAGGCTCTTAGGAGGCCTGCTGGGTCCGACAAACAACAGTCCACAAGTCATCCAGAGAGCCATGAACGACCTGAAGAAGATGAACCTGGACAAGATCTCTCCTGACAGAAGCATCAACATCTTCCACTGTCTGACGGAGATGAACGACCACTCAGTTCATCAGGAGATCCAAGAGTTCTTGAAGTCAGGGAGCAGATCGAAGAAGGAACTCTCTGTGATCCACTGCTCAGCTCTGGCCTACATGCTTCAGATGTCAGAGGAGGTTCTGGACGAGTTGGACCTGAAGAAATACAACACATCAGAGGACGGACGACTGAGACTGATTCCAGCTGTGAGGAACTGCAGAAAGGCTGTGTAAGTGCATGTGTGATTATTGACAAATGAAATCAATGAAGAGTTGAGTTCTCAAATGTCGACACGCTTGTGATGCACCTGTCAAAAATGTTTGGTTTTGTCATGAGTTGTTAAGAAGGTGTTGAATTTTTAGTTGATTAAGTCTGCCTTTATTTGTAATTATTCTTCAATTTCAGAGTTTATTTTCAATCTCTGAGATATCCTCCTTTGTATGATGATACCTTAATTAAAATCTGCCAAAGGAAGTTCAGTTATGAAATTGTGCTGCCTTTTATCCTAACAGACAGCCGTCAGTGGACACCAGCTGCAGTTCAGAGACTATTGTCAGATCTACAATCTTAAATAGTCTCAAGGGACACACGCTATAGTGTCGTGGAGGGTATAAGCAGGTATTCAGGATATACCCATCTCTCTTTCTGGCTGTTTACAGTGTCCCCACCTATCAGCCAAAAAGCCATTGGAATCTATACGAGAGTATACCCAGTTCCTCCTCTGTAACTTACCCATCTACCTAGTAATATACCATCCTCATTAACTATCACTACACCACTGAACAAACACACATCAGTAAATATTTTGCAGTTGTTAAAGACAGCAAGCGAAGACAGTATAACATTGCTCTGTATATTTTATTTTGAATCGATGACATACTTTCTGTAGAAAATCTTCTCATAAGATTTGTATATCTTTTTTTCCCATTGATTAATGAACAAACAAGCATTTATTATTTAGCAATAATAGATGCAATACAAAGCAAAGAAGCCTGCACTGATCTATAAATTGATAAGAGTGATTCTAAGAAAAGTTTCTCCTTTAGTTCATTGTTACAGTTATTAGACTGTGTACTTTCAAGTTAACAGATCTGAAATTTCTCTTCAGACTTCCGAACTGTGGACTTTCAGACACTCACTTTGAAGTTGTGGCCTCAGCTCTGAAGTTTGATCCCTCCCATCTAAAAGAACTGGACCTGAACAACAACAGTCTGCAGGATTCAGAAGTGAAGCTACTATCTGCTGGATTGGAGAGTCCAAACTGTAGACTGGAGACTCTGAGGTCAGTTCACTGTTCATCTGGTGCTGTTCTGTCAGGCCTATATGTGTTCATGTTTATAAATCTTTAACTGAAGTGTGACATGAGAGGGAGAGTGCTAACATACAGAGGAGGTTCAATGAGATTCTCACAAAGTAGTGCTATACTGTCAGATACAGTGGCAGATTTAATGAGGAAGAAAAAAACAAACCTTTGTGTTCTTTTTACAGATTGAGTGACTGCAGGTTGTCAGGAATCAGCTGTGTTTCTCTGGCCTCAGCTCTGAAGTCCAACCCCTCCAATTTGAAAGAGCTGCAGCTGAGCTACAATCACAACCTGCAGGACTCAGGAGTGAAGCTGCTGTGTGATTTTCTGGAGAGTTCAAACTGTAAACTGGAGACTCTGAGGTCAGTAGAGGGTTGGAGCATTTATACAAACTAAATGTGAACAACATCAAAAATACTGCACTCCGTAATTAAACCACAGAAGGGTGACATGTTGGGTTTAATATTGTTCATTAATTTCAGACTGAGAAAACCTGTGTCAGAGTTGTCAGTTTAATAAATCAGTAGACACCTGTTGACCAATCAGAATCAAGAACATCCCTGTGTTGTTCAGTTGGAGGGCAGGTGAGTGAAAGCAAAGACTACCAGCACTGAACAAATACCTCTGATTTGGACGGGTCACAAAAAAAATTGACTTTCGCCCGGGACTTTCCCCTGGGGTCACGTGTTCAGATCTGTGTGAACTTTGAGTCATTTTAAGGTACGCCTTCACCATGTTTCTTTTTCTAAAGCTAACCTCCAAGACTAAACATTTATTACGTAACTGTACGTTAAGGACGTAACATCATTCATGGGGCACAAATTTGTAGGATATCATACGAGCTGTTCTATGAGGATATGTTGAGTTCATCAACATTACCCAGTAACATTAGTCTGACAGCGGTGCATCCATGTACAGGGTTCAGATATTATAGAATGTTATAGTCAAGCACATTTACTCACCCCGCCAAAAATAGGATGGTCATTTCAGTCATCGACCCAACCACACACAAAATAGTTACAGTCCACTTGACTCTTGTACACTTTCATCAGCTCGCTGTGTAATGTTATTGATGTTAGGAGGTCTGGAGGATGAGGTCATTTGTAACGGCGACAGTGCATTATGATACTCACAGTATTGCAAACAGGCTATTTAACTGAGTACTGAACTTTTATAGCAACGTATTGTGCTCTAGGTTAACTTAAACATTTGCTGGGTGATTTAGAACATGTGTTGCTTTGCTCAGACATAAGATGTTTGGAAGTGAGGCGTCACATCTCCACTGCAGGAAACCCGTGTAAAGATGAGCTCACATTTAAAACCTGAACAAATATGATTTGATTACACATAAATTTTAATTTACATGTTTTATTCTTTTCTCAGGTTGAGTTGGTGCAGTTTGTCAGAGATCAGCTGTGTTTCTCTGGCCTCAGCTCTGAAGTCCAACCCCTCCCATCTGAGAGAACTGGACCTGAGTGGAAACGACCTGCAGGATTCAGACGTGAAGCTGCTGTGTGATTTTCTGGAGAGTCCACACTGTAAACTGGAGACTCTGAGGTCAGACATTATTTCTACTTCTGTGCTGAGATTAATGTGATGTGAAAGATGTGGTGACACTAAACTGGAGACATGAGGCTGATATTATACGATCCACACTGAGTAGCTTCACTGGCAGAGCAATAGCAGCACATTTCTCTGACTCTTTGGGGCGGTGAGTCTGTGTCCTGTAGTTCAGTAATCCATTCATGCTTTTATCTTCATGCAGACTGAGCGACTGCAGCCTGTCAGAGATCAGCTGTGTTTCCCTGGCCTCTGCTCTGACTGCTAACCCCTCCCATCTGACAGAGCTGGACCTGAGAGGAAACAAGCTGCAGGATTCAGACGTGAAGCTGCTGTGTGACCTGAAGAAGAGTCCACACTGCCAACTGGAGACTCTGAGGTCAGTAGAGGGTTGGAGTCAGTTCATGTTGGCTTCAGCAGTATTCAGCAGCATTTCCTGTAAACCTCTGACTTGTCAGTTAACCAGTGAGAGGCAGATGGTGGCAGAGAGAACCGTCAGCCAATCAGATCAGCCAGAAGCTTGTTGTGTTTGAGTTGATGTGAAGGCGACTGTTTGATTTACAGCTGACAACATCACAACATATACAGAGACAGTGGTCCTCATTCATCAAGTGTTGTTGTTGAGATGTTTTAATAAAGCTCATCATAGCCTCCAATGATTTGACTTTCAAATTCAAAGTGAAATCTGCACAGTTAACAAACTTGATGTCCAGAGTCTCTGCAGGTCTGGGAGCTTCCAGCTCAGCATGTTCACTTCAACATGTTGACATGAGAGCTGACAGGAAGCTGACTACGCTCCACAGCCACTCCACCTCTGCTCAGACAAACTGTCCTCCCTAAAAAACAACAGTTATATGTGTCGTCTGTGCAAGCAGCTCATTACGAGCCATATTTAGGTTTATAGTTAGGTGCTGACCTCTAGTGGCTGTAGTGATTATGATGGGAGCAAAGGAGGAAGTCAGGTGGTGTAGTATAACGAGCGACAAACGCAGACAGATGGGTCGAACAAACACAGGACTTAGACCCAGGTTGTTCATGTCCTACCTGAAACCAGAAGTCAGTACTGAAGTATTTTAACTGACACGATGTACTTAACTCGCATCACATTAGTTCACTTACGTTCGTCACTGAGGCTGTCCCACGTACATGACATCATTAAAGGAACAGTGTGTCAGGAGGATTTAGTGACGTCTATCAGTGAGGATTACAGATTACAGATTACAGCCAGCTGAAACGTCTCCTGGTTAGAATAGTGTTTTTCGAACACTCTCACCGCAGAGAGGCCGCTAACTACGGTTTCCAACATGAAAACGCTTTCCAGTGACTGGTTTGTCCATTTTGGGCCACTGTAGCAACCCGTTTGTAATATTATGTTCAATCACATAATTTCACTCTGACAATAATAACTTCTAATAACTCAATACGTTATTACGACCTCGTCCACCGTCACCTCGTTTGTTGTTGTGTGAAACGTTTGACTCCACCCTCTCGTACCATCTGTTGGCTGTATCTATGGCATCATAAAGGACACATGGAAGTATGAGGGCAGTGACATTTACAGTATTTGAAACGGACGTGTCTATTTTCGTACATAAAGAGAGAAATAATGAGCCGATGCAGGGCGTCTCTGTAAACACTGATTCATGTCGTCTGTCTTCTTCTCTTGTCAGGTGGAAGTGATGATCTCTGCGATCAGGACAATGGATGTGCTGCTCAGCTGTGTCTGATGATCCAGAGTATCTTCAGTTCAGATTCACCAGCGTAATGAAACGCAAATGTGTCATCATCAAATGGTTCATCCCGTCCACCTTATTCCTGACAGTGCTGCTGTGGAAATGAAAATGTACCGAACATCCAGTGAGACGACGACAGTAGCAGTTAGCTAACTCAGTGCATCCACAGTCTGTAGTTCATCCTAGTGGCTGATCTCATTTCTTTTTCAAAGAATTTCGCCTTCAGTTTAGCAAATAATATTTGTTTTTAAACCAATATTTAGCTAACATTAAATTTAGATTTTATAAAATGCCCCAACAATATCTGTAACCAAAGGTACGGTTCCTATTTCCTACAGAGACAAATACGTATCCAGCCGTCCTGAATAACACCGGATCATCTCGTATTGAAAAATATAATCTACTGTTCCTCACTGAATCAATACGAGATGTGATTTCCTGTATTTTCGTGCACACTTTACTCTTATGCATCCACCACCTTTTCAACTGTTTGAAATGACACAAGAAACAATAAAACCAGAAAAGTTTGGAGAGAGTAGAAATATTAAATCAGAGTTTGTAGAAGAGAACGACACAAACACTAACAGGTCTGACACTAAACATCAGGACATGATATCTGTCTTTAGAGCCCAGGCTCTGGCGTCTGGACAGTGACTGGCTGCGTCAGACACTGATGATATAAACTGTCCTTTAATGATGATGATACGCTGTTATAGTTTAATGGGTGGTATTCAAAAGTAATAATCCAGAGGGAAAATGAGGAGAGAAGGGACAAAAGGAAAGAAGGAGAGAAGAGAAGAAAGACGTGTATTCTACAACATCCCCCGAACCAAACCAGTTCTTTAAACCACCTCTTTACTTCTTATTGTGCTAATCATTTGTATGTATGTAGAATGTATGTGTCTATTATTATTAATATTGATGATGATGATGATGGTGGTGTCTTCTGAATCACACACAGACACACCCTGAACTTTGACCCTGTTGTTTATATATCTGTTACTGTGGTGATAAATCAAACGCCACTTGCAGAGCTCACCAGAGACGGAGGTCGACCTGCAGAGCTCCACTTTAGTTTATTTGCAGTGTGTGTAGTTTGACTTTAAAGTTCTGACTGTAGATTCAAACAGATTCATGAAGGTGAGATCACATCTGCAGTTCTGTTATCATTTTTTATATCTATGATTATTTTGTTGACCTAAACAATTAAAAGTCCTGTTATTACTGTTCGACTGGTCGTTGGTTACTTTAATGTGCTGTCGTCCATCATTATGACTCCAGACAGATGTCAAACTGTCATCTGTTTGCAGCTCAGTCGATGTGATGTATCGTTCTCTGTGCAGAGGATCGTGGGTCAGAACAGACAGGAAATCATGCTGCGTTACAGACTGTAAAATACGACCTGATGTCGTAGAACATCCTGGTGTTTATGGCACACTGACTTTGACAGACTCTGTGTTGGGACACAGGAAATCTCTTCCTGGCGTACTGTATGGTGTGGGCACTAGAACACACAGAAAGTCTCTCTCATCCCTTATCTGGAGCTTTCTGTTGCAGCGCCACCCTGTGGGGTGATGGAGGATTGCAGTTGAAGTTGATTTTGCATGCATGAATTCACCTGTCTGAAGTTTGATGTTATTATCACCAGGGATATTTCTGACGACTAAACAAAACTTTTAATGAATACTAGTCAACTAGTCCATAAAATAAAACACGCTGACACAGTGAGAACATGTCAGAGCACCTGGAGGAAACCCACGCTGACACAGGGAGAACATGTCAGAGCACCTGGAGGAAACCCACGCTGACACAGGGAGAACATGTCAGAGCACCTGGAGGAAACCCACGCTGACACAGGGAGAACATGTCAGAGCACCTGGAGGAAACCCACGCTGACACAGGGAGAACATGTCAGAGCACCTGGAGGAAACCCACGCTGACACAGGGAGAACATGTCAGAGCACCTGGAGGAAACCCACGCTGACACAGGGAGAACATGTCAGAGCACCTGGAGGAAACCCACGCTGACACAGGGAGAACATGTCAGAGCACCTGGAGGAAACCCACGCTGACACAGGGAGAACATGTCAGAGCACCTGGAGGAAACCCACGCTGACACAGGGAGAACATGTCAGAGCACCTGGAGGAAACCCACGCTGACACAGGGAGAACATGTCAGAGCACCTGGAGGAAACCCACGCTGACACAGGGAGAACATGTCAGAGCACCTGGAGGAAACCCACACTGACACAGGGAGAACATGTCAGAGCACCTGGAGGAAACCCACACTGACACGGGGAGAACATGTCAGAGCACCTGGAGGAAACCCACGTTGACACAGGGAGAACATGTCAGAGCACCTGGAGGAAACCCACACTGACACAGGGAGAACATGTCGGAGCACCTGGAGGAAACCCACACTGACACGGGGAGAACATGTCAGAGCACCTGGAGGAAACCCACGCTGACACGGGGAGAACATGCAAACTCCACCCAGAATGGCCCCAGTCAGAACCCTCATGCTGTGAGGTGACATGTGAACCACTGCACCACCGTGCCCATCATGTAAACACACATGTAATAATGTGTTTGTGTCTAGGACAGGATGGTGTTAATGAACTGGTGCTGAAACCATGAGCTGAGTTTGAATCAATTAACCAGTGGCGTGAGGACGTTATGACGGGCCCAGTGCACGTTATCGTGCAGGTATTATCTTGACACAAATAGAGACTTGACTTTGGACAACATCAACACACATATTACCCAGAAATCATCACTGCATGTCTGACAAACATATCAAAGACAGTAAGAAAAGGATCATTTCATTGAAAAGTTTTTCAGTAATCATAAGATGCAACAATAACCTGGTTGATGCTGCTGGACTCTCCCTGCTGACCCTCTCTGGAGTTTTCCAGTGATGCCCTGGTACTGCCTCACTGTTGGTGGACAGAGGACACGCCCCCTGACTTTATTATCTTTTACTATTATTAATTATTCTTTAATTATTGGTATCAGTGGTAACAGGATGAAAGTATGATTAGTTTTAATACACTTCCTTTCTCTTTATTGTTATTATCATTATTAATAATAATAATTGTATTTTTTTTTATTTCTTCTTCTTACTTTTTTCTCATCCTTTCACCTGTCAGACCTGTACAGACACACAGACACATCACAGCCAACACAACCTCGTCCTCTCATCCCGAGGCAACAATTAATTTACAGGCCGGTTTTCTTTTTTTTTTTTTTTAATTCAGCGTCTTATTTGTTTTGTTAGTGTTTTGTATTGTCTTGCAATCTAAAAAAAAAAGTAAATGTTTTCTTGTGACTATGACAGTAAAGTTAATTTGATGTCTTTGGGTCAAACAAAAAAACTAAACATTATTTGAATATTAAATATTATGAAAGGCTGTTTTTATAGTTTTCTTACATTCTGTAGAATAATAATCTTCAGTTGCAGCCCTGGTATGTTAGCGACTGTATTTGTGTATGGGTTAATATGGAGATATGTATTTACAGGCACCGCAGGTCCAGGGGCCCAAAGTGTCCTGCAAAATGTCACTCATGTTAACACGTAGTGACCAGAGAGACTCAGAATGACGACACATAAATTCAAAGGGGCTGAGACACAAAACCAGATAAGATGGAGGGGTGGTGGGGCCTTCTTCACATCTGTGCCCGGGGGCTCAGTGTCTCATGATCAGCCCATGGCAGGCACAATGTGAGGGACACGTGGGAGGACACCTGTTCTACCTGATGACTGAACCTTAAACTAAAGTAAATAACTCTGGAGCATTAACTGTGACTTTCTGTCCTCTGAGCTCCGGCTGCCTGCTCCCTGTCCACTGGGGTGACCGGGACCATCTGCCCGGGCCATGTGCACCTGACCACGGCTGCTGCAGAGGCATCAGACGGGAAGTCACCAACTTCAGACTGGGAGAACTGGCGGCTCTGCTAGAGCTGCACCATCAGCATGAATAATGTAGATGGGCATCCTGGAGCGGATCCCAGTCGGGCTCCGGGGAGCAGGAACACCAGCCCCGCTGCAGGAGGAGAAGCACGGACAGGACGCGGTGATCAAACCCCGGGGTCCGCGTCCACCGTGACCGACATGGAGACGGGGATGCTCGGCGGGCACAAAGTGATCAGCAGCCGTGGCGGAGCCGCTGCTGGTGGTGTTGCACCTCCTCCTCCTCCTCCTCCTCCATCAACATCATCATCATCACCATCATCATCATCATCATCCCACCACACACCTCCGCCGTTCAGCCAGTTAATCCAGCAGCTGCACAACCACCACCAGCTCCACCAACAGCGACTGCGACCCATCAACATCCCAGACAGCAGCAGCATCCAGCGGGGCCAGAGGGGACAGAGCGGCGGGGAGCGACAGCATCATGGAGGGGAAGGAAACCTCCTCCTGGTGGGGAACAGCCGAGCAGAGGAGCGCCATCAGCAACACCAGCTGAACAGAAGCGAGGAGGAGGAGGAGGCGGAGGAAGAGGAGGAGGAGCGGATGGATGCCAGCCTCGGATCAGCCACCAACACCACCACCACCACCAACAACAACAACCCTCCTCCAAGAGGGACCAGCTCCGAGTTTAATCATTATTATGGGAATGGAAGAGGAGGGCCTTGCTTTGATCAACATGGCGGACAACAAAGCCCAGGGACTGGGGTAACAGCGGCGGCGCTCTCGGCACACAGCACCATGGACCAGGTTCACAACTCCCACGAAGGCTACAGCAACAACAGCCCGTATAACCACTACCCGAACTATCGGCCCGGCTATGGGACCAGTGGATACGGGGGCATGATGAGTCCCTCCCGCCAGGGGAATAACCTGATGGGCCCGGGCGGCGGCAGCTCGGCCAAAGCGGCTATGATCGCGACCAGCTCCCCGGCTGGAGGCGGCGGCGGCGGCGGCGGCAACAACGGAGGATTCCAGCGGTTCCCCGGACAGGGTCAGCAGCAGCAGCAGCAGCAGCAGCACCCCTCCGGAGCTACACCGACTCTAAACCAGTTATTGACGTCTCCGAGCCCGATGATGAGAGGTTATGGAAGTGGATATCCTGATTATAATAATCCTTCCGCACAACAACAGCCGAGCATGGGGCCGGCTAAAGACATGGGCTCCCAGTACGGCGCGGCGGCGGCGGCGGCGGCTCACGGCTGGGCAGGACAACAAAGAAGTCACCCGGCTATGAGCCCCGGGAGCAACGGGCAGGGCGGCGGCAGGTCTCAGGTGAATTTTATTCATTAAACTCCGGTTCTTTGTTGTTAACTGCTGATGAACTCTGACTAATGACAGATAGTCATCACAGCTAACCTGCTAGCTGTTAGCCGCGGAGCTAATGTTGCTAGTGTTAGCTCAGCGGCTAACTGGGTGAGCTGTTTTTTTATTTCTACTGCAGATCATTTACACAGCTCGACACACACATTTGAGCATTTTGGGTTTTATATTAATAAATATTGACCCACAGTGAATTCGTTTCACACTCAGCTGTTAATAACGGCTTAATAAGCTAACAATAGTTCGTTAAAGTCAGTGTTTCGATTCCGTGTCCAAGGTGACTCCGTTTTTAGCATGCTAGCTTAGCTAAGCTAACATTTTTAGCAGCTGGTAACCGAGCCGAACAGGCCCGAAGAGGCTGTTTGTGTGTATAAAGGCAGCTCGTGTTCTGTAACCACCGTGATATATATTAATTATCAGTTTATATTTATAATTTATAGTTTGAGAGCAGAGGTCTGGCGGCAGGACATGTCAGTTAGCTGCGGCCGCCTGTTGTGTTTTTATTTGACAGCTCCATTCAGCTCTAACATGAATTAATGACTTCATTAATTATCTGTGAGGTGACTGGAGGTGTCCTGGAGGCTGAGCGGTTCCTTCGGCTGTGTTCATGTTCACAGAGCACCGTGTCATCCTGGTTTATCAGCGGTGTTTGAGCCGCTGTGTTCAGCCTGTGATCTGGACTCTACTCAGTTGGCAGGCAGCCCGTTATTATGGCCCCATCTCCACACAAGAGCCCTGACCTTCACACATGCAGATTAGCCATGTGCCCGTCACCACCGGCACAACACTGGAGCTACGTGTCGGCCACGCTCCTCCAACTGCCCCGGGGCCTGCTGGAGGCCTCAGCCCCCGGTGTGTCGCTCCTGTCACCAGTCAGTCCTGCTGCATGTCAGGGACAGTTTGTTCACTCAACACCAGCCGTCACAATAAGCTGCACCTCACCAATCATCATGCTTTACAATAATAACTGACAGAGACCAGTCTGTGTAATTTAACTTTCCTCTTAATATTTCCTCTTAAAGAGATTTAAACCACCATAATCAAAAGTTCCAGTATGATATCGGGCCTGAGGAAGTTCAGTCAGAATTTGTGAGCATGAACTGCTTTGTCAAAACTAGACCAGAGGAGGAAGTGTCAGACCTGTGGGTGTGAGGGAAAGCTCAATACAGCACAGTATCATGATATTTTTGTGTAATACAAGAGGAGGGTTTATGGCCCTAAATTAATGTTACAATATTTCAGGATATTTTTGCGATAACGAAAAATTTGTGACGATATGACAGATTAGTAAAACAATATTATTATTCATTTAAAGAGCAAAGAATTGCACCAAAATAAGTGATCTAGTTTCACAGTTGGCTTCAAATATTCAGTAAAACCTAAATAAATTGATCTAACTCAGACAGACAGCGTTACAGCACCCGACATACCGACAGAACACCACTTTATCCTGTTAAAACAATCCTCACAACTTGGATTCTTTTTTTTTTTTTTAAAAAGCCGTTTGACTCTTTTGATCCATGGACCCTGACAGACTGAAGGAAGATGAATAATTAACAGCGTAATCCAGGAACAGATACATAATCTGAGGCAGACAACAACCTGCTTTATACATCTGAAGAACTATAATAAAATAATGAGCTGTTTGGATCCAGACCAGGCCTCTAATAGAGACAGGCCTTTGTTTGTCATATGTGGAGCCACACCGGGCTGGTTAAAGGGGCCGGGTGTTTAATTGGGACGAGGCTTTTAATTGAAGTTTCACAGTGTATGTAGTTTGTTGTCGAGTGGCGAGCGTCATTTAGGTTTACATTACTGAAGGTTTATGACAGAATCACTTGACGACAGCGACACTGTCGAGGGAGAGACGCTGTGCTGCTGCCAGAGGAGCTGCTGAATGAGTTCCCTCTGAGCGGACGCCACAGTTTATTACACACTACTGAAGCTGCTCCTCTTTCTGGAACCACCAAGGAGTCCATCATCATTTCACTTTCAGACATGCTTGTTGTTGCCGTGGGTTACAGGGGGTTCCTACGCAAGTATGGAAAAGTATGGAAATAAATTTGATCAATTTCCAGGTATTAAAAAGTATGGAAAATGAAAAATAAAGTATGGAAAAATATTTATGTTTCCAGACTATTACCACTGTTCTAAAATACTGTTTTCTAAAATAGAAAATTAGGTATTTCCAAAAAAAAATTTAATGAATCCGGATCGTGTTTTATGCCGGGCCAAGCACAGTTTGTGTGAGAGCAAACGTCTCAGAAAACATACCGCCCCTTTTACCTGATTGACAAGTGGTATGTTAGCCTCGCGTCACCAGGCTCTTCAAGCGAAGAGCCTGGTGACTATTCACTCTGAATTTTGTCTGGATTCTGGTTCCGGTCTAGGGAGCGGATGCGGTATTCACAAAATTCACCAAACTAAAAGTGTTCACCATAGTAAAACTTTAAATTCTGGCGCACCATCGATTTGGGGTGATGAGGGGTGTAAGAAAATCTATTAACTTAATGGCTTGGGGCTTTTCTTGTAAATTATATTCTTTAAATTAAAAGTTTCACCGCATTTTTATTAGCTTGGTGCTTTTATTTTTACTGAAAGGCACATCCATCGAATTCCGGATTCTGTCTCACTCGCCCTGGTTCCGTTTCCTTACCAAAACGGCCACTAACGGCCCCAGACTAGTGGTATGTCCAGTCCGCTGCCCCATGACCCTCCACCAGCCCCCCAGGTATCAAGTTTCACTCCAACACTGCACCTTCGACAAGAAGATGAGTTTCACGTGGTTCACAATGGGTAGATGCAAGTTTTTGGATGGATGGCTTGACAATACCGTATATAAATAGTGGTTGGCCAAGGATTCCCAATTCACACACACAGCTAGATGCAAGCTTTGTGTGAAATCGTTTGGCATCGCCAACATGGGGGAGAAACGATTCTGAGCCACATGAAAGGAAAAACACTGACGTCTTGTTATTGCATCGCTTGCACCCAACCTTTTTGCCTCAGCCCAGACCAACGACTCCATTAAGTGAACGTGCCCACACTCCGAATGATGAACAGTGAGAACATTCAATTATATTATTAACCTCTTGGATCAAGACTGTCATGTAATGTCTTTTAGCGAGTCTGACGTGCGTCTACAACACAAACGTCAGACTCGCTTAAAGACATGATAGTCTTCATCCAGTGCTAGAGATTATATGTATATCCTTCAAATGACAAGCGAATGTACTATTAAGGTTATGTTAGCTGGAAATCTTGAAACACTGGAAGCGAGGCCACTGTATGCCGTTATGTAGCATGCCCGATGCATCTGCCCACCGGTATAACCTAGCTAAACGAGCTATTTGTGGCTGTAATTTCTGACTTTTTATTTGCATGCCATTATGGTACTTGGCTACAATCGCCTATTAAGAATAATTAAATATGATGTGAAATATGATACACTGATATATTTACTCAGATGTCGCATAAAAAAAAAACGCAGAGAAGTCTGGAAATTAGGGAATGGAAAACTATGGAATTTTGAAATTCCAAATGTGTAGGAACCCTGGTTACAGTATGACATCATTATGTCAACAAGCCGAAATATTGCCAATATCATGATATAATCTTTTTTATATTGTGTTAAAAATTATACTGGTACGAGATGATATGGCACAGCCCTAATCGATCGGACTCCAAGGATTGATTTTTAATTGTATAATTTACAAATTAAACTGATGTCGGCCCACTAGAATAATAAACTCAGTAGCCTTGTCAGTCCACTAGAAACAATCTACAGTAATAAAAATGATTCAAGTGAACAGACTGAAAAGTTTGTCTTATTAAATAAAACAGATGTTGTCAAAGTTTTTCCTTCACTGCAGCCGAACAAAGGTAATAAATCACATTGTATGTTATCACAATACAAACAAAGCATGTTAAATCACAGTGATACTGTATCATGACTTAAACATGGTGATATCACCACATTTGGGGGCTTTAGTGAAACCCTCCCCTCCAGACGTCTGATGTCATCAAGTACAAAGTCTGGAGCTGCTCCATAGAAATGAGCGGGAGACTGATTTAGTTTGTTTCCTTTTTTTATACCTAAATGAATTTAAACTTAAATGATCTTTGTTCTGTCGCAGAGTTCTCAGCTCTGAAACAGAAAATGTTCCCATATACTCAAGCGTTCCCCGACTGCTTCATGTTTCCCAGCGAACGCTCCGCTCGTCTGCAAATCAGTTACAAATCAATGTTTTTGTGATGCTGCTCCTCGTGGAGGAGCTGCTGACTGTGGCTAAAACGCAGATATGAAAAACTGTCGATGTCTTTTTCTGGAGTCAGTGTTTGGTTTGTCCGTTCTGGGCTACTGTAGAAACATGGCGGTGCAACATTGTGATCTCTGTAGACGAGGACCTGCTCCCTGTAAACAGCTCACTCTGAGGGAACGGAAACATATATTCACTTTAAATCTGACACACTGGAGCTCTAAATACAAATTCTGAGGGACCGTTTTGTGCAACTTTATATTTGTGGTCCCCGACATCTCAGAGACAAATATCAGAGTTTGATTGTTGATTAATTGTCCACCTGTTGAATTAACTCCTGAAATACTGTGATATCACACTCAGGGAGTTTTGGAGTTACTTGACTTTAAAATGTAACTACTATTACATTTTTATTGGTGCCCTTTGTGTTCAGTTTGCACAATAAATCAATGTAGAATATAGGACTGCACCGGTGTGAATTTTCACGATATAACAGCTTCAGAAACATATCGCGGTTTCACTTGTTACAGAATTAATATTATCAGTCAGAATGAACCTTAAAGGAATGAAAGCAGAGGGTTATTGTTGGTTAAACACATTTTATCACTATAAATGAAACTTGTTTGTGTAAATAGTCCCCATTTTAAAAATAACTGAAACAAAGTTGAATCGTCCAGTTGAATCGTAGACAAC